AGCAAGTATGCTCATTTCATCCCCCTCCGACATCCTTACACCGCGGTGACAGTGGCTTCAGCATTCATTAGAGAAGTGGTCAGATTGCATGCGGTTCCAGAAGCGATCGTGTCAAACAAAGATAAGGTATTCCTCAGTCATTTTTGGAGGGAGTTGTTCAGGTTATAGGGGACAGTTTTGAAGAGAAGTACCGCTTACCACCCACAGACAGATGGCCAAACGAAGGTGGTCAATAGGAGTCTGGAGACATACCTGAGATGCTTTGTGTCAGAGACACCCAAGCTATGGGTCAAGTGACTATCTTGGGCAGAGTACTGGTATAACACGTCTTTTCATTCTGCTTCACATATGACCCTATTCAAGGTGTTGTACGGACGGGATCCCCCACACTTGGTGCACTTTGGGAGTAACAGTACCCCAGTGTCATCAGTAGAGGAGTACTTAGAGGAGAATGACCAAGTACTAGAGGAGTTGAAGAGGCAATTATTGAGAGCTCAACAAATTATGAAGAAATAAGCAGATGGGCATAGGAAGAACATCCAATTTGAAGTAGGAGAGAGGGTGTTCTTGAATCTCCGACCATATAGACAGAAGAAAGTCGCCAACAGGAGGAACGAAAAACTGGCTCCAAGGTATTTTGGGCCTTATGAAGTGCTGGAGAAGATTGAGGCAGTAGCATATCAATTGAAATTACCACCAGTAGCAACTATACATCCGATTTTTCATGTCTCACAGTTGAGGAATGTCATTGGTGACTACACAGCCAGTCTCGAGCTACCAGCAACACTTACTGAGGATTTAGAGGTGACTCTAGAACCCTTAGAGCTGTAAGGGGTTCGTCAAAACAAAGATGAAACTAAGGAGGTGTTGATCAAATGGAAGAACCTCCCGGATTACGAGGCCACGTGGGAGCCATATGAGATGATAAAATAGCAGTTCCCTTTTTTTCACCTTGAGGACAAGGTGATTCTTTGGGAGGGCGGTATTGATATGTCGATTCCCCAGGAACCAACTCAACCTCAGCAGGCGCAGATGGGGCCGACACTTGTATACAGGAGGCGGGTCAAACCGCCTCCTTCCTACACCGCCTAAGGGAGGGGCCCACGCCCAATTTGTTTGGATTTAATTAATTAAAAAAATATTTGATATCTTTTGTATTAAATAATAATATCTTATATTAGAAAAGTGGATTTAATAAATTAAAAAGATTTGATATCTTTTGAATTAATTAAATACTATCTTATATTAGGAAGTTTTTAAGGAGGTTGAGAGGGCTATTTAAAGGGCATGAACGGGTTAGGACTAGGCATGCTTTGGTTATTGTCTTCTTATAGTCTCATTGGCGTTTTGGGCTCTAGAATCTTGTTTAGAGATTTGGGAGAGACGATCATCCTCTCGAATAGAGGATCAATTGTATATTTTCTTTTAGCTTATTTTGTTTTGAGTATTTAATCAAGTTATATTATTTTCTTGGTTGTTTCATCTCCAATCTTGGGTATTCTCATTGTTTTTACCAATTTCACATTAGGGTTGCTTGCGAACTCAAGTAGATCCGATAAGATTATTTGCGAACTCAAGTACTTCCTATCAGGATACATAGGAAAAATGGGAGAGAGGGAATGTTTGGCTAGAGGTGCTCAATTCCGCTTGATGTGAGAAAGATCGGGTGAAGGATCTCGGCTGGGGCTAATTTGATCGGCTGCTCATGAGGTGGAGCGAAGATGGAGGTCGAGATCGGCACAACAAGTGTGAGGTTCTGCGGGTATGGGAGTTCCATACAGAGTGTTTGGCTGGTTGCCTGCGTGCGAGAGTTGGAGTTTGTGTGTAAGAGGGAGTGGAGGATCGATGTATGAAGAGCTGGTAGTGGGAAATCAGTGTATGAAGAAGAAGAAACAGTTGAAGTCTTTTGTTCTCGTTTGTGTGCGAATGTCTCGTAATCCATGTCGTTGTCGACTTGAAACCTGTGAAAAATGCAAATTTACGCTCTCTCAAATAGCCCAATCAATATTGCAGTCATTCTTAGGTATTTTCAATGTTTCGAGCGCAACGGTGAAGTTCGTTTTGAGAACGGACGTCATTTGGGCAACGTTGTGCCCGTTGCGCTTGTACTTTGCTGATTTCGACCACCTTCATTCAATTCAACAAAGAGGGGTCCTACCTTGGCTAAATCCGACGCTTTCATTGCATCAACGCAATCCGTTTGACAATCAAAGGTCATTTGGATAGTTTCGTAAAGCGTCGAGCTTGCCGATGATCGCGCTCGTTGATCGTCACTTTCGCCACCTTTGCTCGCACTATATTGGTGGTTGTGTCGAGATCACCACTCTCATTGAAGCTTCCAAGCATAAATTGAAATTTCCATCTCTATTAGCTTCTAAAGGGTGCTTCTTCTAAACTTTATAGGTGACAGATTTTATGAAACTTGCATATTTAACTAGAGGTTTAATGCATTTATTCTTCTGGAAGCGCAAGTCTAAAATTCTTAAAATTGGGAACATAACTTATTATGTGTGTGTGTCTATATATATTGTGGGCTCCAAAAATTCGGCCTCGGCCTCCCCGCCGCGCGTTTTCTTTTTATTCGGCGAGGGAGTTTTAACGGAATAAGTTCCTGGGTAAATTTTGGAAGGCAGATGGGTTTGTAGATAAGACACTACCCAGAGATTTCGCCCTCATTTTGTGAGGACTTTATGATCTGAGTTCTGGTTTCCTATAGGCGCAAGCCCCTATAGTTAATTACCTCTCCCACTAACGAGAGAGAACTTTTATATAATGTTAACTAATTACATTAATTAGTAATAAAATAAAACTAAAAAAAAACAAAACAAAAAAAAACTAAACCTATATCTAAAGGCCGGCTGGAGCAGAGCAAGAGGGACGATCGGGTTCGGCCTCGCGTGAGGTAAGAGTTGGAGAGGGAGCAGGGAGATCGGGTTCGGCCTTGGTGAGAGGAGGAAGAAGGTAAGTCCTCTCTCTCTCTCTCTCTCTCTCTCTCTCTCTCTCTCTATTTCTCTCTATTTCTCTCTCTCTGGATCGGGAGGAGCAAGGCCGTCGGGATGGAGATCGGAGAGTTCGGCAGTGGGAGAGGAAGATAGGGAGGTTCGGCCGGAGTTGACGTCGGGTTTGCTGTGTGGAGTCGGACAGAGGAGAGGGTTTCAGCACAGTGGGGTTCGGCTTCAGGAGGGCGACGGGATTCGCGAATGAGGAAGAAGCAGAGCAAGCGTCATGGGAGGAGTTCGGTCGGCTTTTAAAGACGCGAAAGAACCTCCTCGAGCAGAGTTTGAGCAAGAATCACGGGAATTTGACTGGAGCGGCGCCGTTTGCAGCGGGATTTCGGCACGACTTCGAGGATCCGACGGTCTACAGGTTAGCTAATTTTTGGTTCTTTTCGTTTCTTTATACAAAGGTCTATATATATATATATATGACAAAGTTTATTTAAAATTAATTGTGTGAAGGTCCCTTGTCATTTAAAATTTCGACAGCCTCCTAACATCCCCTCCTCTCATAGGAAGGTTGGAAGGCGCTTGTCTTTCAATCCGCCCAACCGAATCAAAAATATGATGGCATGAGGGCTTCGGGATAGATTATTCCCGACATAGGTCTTTGGGTCATCAATTACTCAGCACCTGCTATGTTTTTTTTCTCTTTCTTTTTTCTCTTCTTTCTCTTTCTTTTTTCCAAACACTCTACTATTAAACTCATATACTCATGGGGAGTTGTCGAGACAGTGGTTGGTTCAGCCGGTCAAAAGCAGAGAGTGAGCGGGGTCGAAAATGGGCTTCCTCCGTGCAAAACAGAGTCATGAATCACATATGGAGGGTCGGGCCGAAGGCATGGGTCGAAGTCGTGGTAATGGATACAAGCGCGAGCTGAGATTGGAGATGCAAAGGTGCACGGGCACGGGTTGGAGTTGATCGCGCTGGTCACGTGCAGGGTGAAGGCGTGTGCCTCGAGCGGCGTTTCAGGTTGGAAGCACGAGCAGGACGAGGTCAGGAGAGCAAGCGAGCTGCGGCTGGGTACTACATATGTGAGTGCGAACAAACAGAGGAGTCGAGGGCCTCTTGCATGCGCCTTTGGGGAAAAAGAGGGAGAACAGAGCATTTAGGCTGGGGTCTCGGTTGCGACAGAGACGAACGAGCGAGAGGGATAGGGATCCTCGCCTACGAATCAACCGAGAGAGCGAGAGAAATTGCAGTTTCGTGCATGAGAGCTGAATGGAAAGGAGATAGCGGGTTTGGGTGTCAATATCATGCCCCATTTTGACCCCCTTCAGTCAACCTAGAGCATAACAAAGGAGGAATTAGACAGATACATTTCTCACTAACACCCATCCTAACTACTTCCATTAAGATCAAGTGAATAGGAAATAACCTATCCAGATTGTCCCTATGTCAATGAAAGAGTAGACGTCAATTAAGAACCCTCTAACAGGGGCAAACACTCTCTAGCTTGGTCTGCTTGGGATACCTGTGAGGAGAGGACCTACAATTGCTAATCATGCTCCCTAGATATTACTACTCAAACTCCTCCAACATTGGCAAATTGGATCTACTAGTAGACATGGAATGACCAAAATCATTGGAATCATAACCGAAACTACCTCCATATCCCCAAATATCACCCATCTAACAAAAGGTGTACCTAAATATTTGAGCCTAAGCAACAAACTAAATTGTAAATACCCTACCATAACTATGAGGGGTTGTTATCTATGGGGGCTAATACCCATAAAAATTTATAGAAAAAAATAAATAAGCTATGATTCATAATCATGGGCAATCTGGTTTACTGTATTCAACATGTCTCAAGTATAATAACTCTCCAGCGCTCCATTAAGCAGGCTTAAAAGAATTGCTTTTCCAAAGCAATCATCAAGATATACTAAATCGTTTAAATAAAAAGGTTTTTGTTATCCATAAAGATGCCACAATGTTACATTAGAAACGGTAAGGTCAGATGCACTATGACAATTTTGAAACCAAAAAAAAAATGCTAACCACAAGCTGGATTTGGAGAACCAACATGACCAGCTAAGGTGTCATCCTCATCCATATTACTTATTACACAAGATGTTTCTGTCATCCCATAGCCTTCAATAATATGGCTTCCAAAGCATCTGCAAAAAATTGCAAAAAATATATCATAATAAGGGGAGCTATCATAAGACAGGATGTTCTGAGCAATTTCACTATATATATATATATATATCCATTGACTAAACGGGCTTCAAAATGCATACATTTTAAGAAACTCCAAAACATCTGGAGATAATGGTGAGGCTCCTGATGACATTATGCGAATCCGCCCTCCAAGTTTGTCCCTAATTTTGTTGAATACTAATCTATCCCAGATTGGAGATGGTTTTTTTCCTAAGAAAATTGCATGAATTAAACAATTATAAAAATAATAGAAATGATGCTTTAGAAAACTAAGAACGCGATGAATCAAGTCTATGATTTTATTTTATTTTTTAAATCCTCGAATAAAAGAAAAATATGTATAAATCAAAAAATGCCAACTTTTTCTTGCACAATTATTCAAGAGAGCAGTGATAAATTAAACAAGTCTCATTTGCTTGATAGACTACGTGGATATTTATTCCTCGAAGCACAGAGAGATGAAGAATAAAAAATTTCTCAAAAAATCAAATAAAATCATATCCATAAAAAAAGAAAGTATCCATAGCCACAATATATCATGTCAAAGATGCATTTAGTTGCCCTATAAACCAGGGGCAAACAACCTAAGATACAAATTTACACAAGAACTTAGAAACTATTTACAAGCTAGGATAAGGATAAGAATAAGTTGGCATAGGACATTTAAAAATATTTTAAATGCCTAATATTTAGGTGGGAAAATTTTTTTTAGAATATGCTGATAAAAAATTGATCATACTGTCTCAAAGTCATTAAACTTGCTTTGACTTTAGAGTGATATATGGAGAATCACTTAACATTTAGAAGCACTCATATCAAAACAACTCCAATGGATTTGAAACCCAACCTGACAAAAATTTTGATCAGGAGATAACTGAAAAAACATGAGACAACTATTTTCCATAGTTCACAAATAAAGCACAAACAAATCAAATAAGTAGATTAACAAAACAAAGAGACAGAAAAAAAGGAAATACTCACCGTATAAAGAATATCTATATGGTATACTATAATATCTCATCTTTCCAAAAAATAATGCATAATTTTGAAAATTCGATATGGCATCCAACTATTGTTTTTTAAATAATGAATAGGATAGGCCTAATTATTGTCAAAATATTATAGAGTGAATGCTAAATCAAACACAAATGGTTTAAGGTGTTTCTCCTAGCATTTTGAACATAGAGCTCTTCATCCATTTATTCATATACCTTGGTTAATTTCGATTGTAAAATGCATTTTTTTTTAATCTCTCTCATACTTAATCCACATGCAGCCAAGAATTATACTAATCATGTTGATAGCCTGCTAGATGGAAAGCATAAGAAATAGGAAAGCTTTGTTAGGATACCAGTATACCACCAGCAAGATCATCACAACTTATTAACCCAATTGGCGAAAAGTAGGCAAAAGTTAACTAGATATAGAACTAATATTAGATTTTTCAAATCAAATATGGGGATTTTGGAAGGGAAGGTGAAAAAATTAGTGAACAAAATAATTAAAGAAAAGCAAATATCACATATTTGCAGGAAACAAAATGGAAAGAATAAAAAAATTCAAATACATTGGGAGGTTTATAAGCTATTGTCCATAGGAAGGATAAAATCTAAATAGGGTCAGGATATTAATGAATATAGATTTGAAAAAAAAAAATTAGGAGAATAGAGTCGATGATAGTGTAGGTTTTATTTTATGAATTAATTTTAAGGCATTAAAAATTAGTAGGGCTAATATTCTTAATGTTGGAATCGTAGACTGAAAAATTATTTTTGGCAAGAAGTGGATGAACAACTACAATGTATGCCCATGGAAGAGATTTATTAGTGATCACTTAAATAAACAAATAGGCTCTATAAGATTCATTGCGAGAGGATTCACTATGGACACTGAATAGGGAATGGAAATATGATGAGAGAAATAATACTTTATTCTGGAGTTATTTATGTTCTTGAAAAACCGAGCAGATACTTTAAGAAACGAGAAATGCACTTAATTTCTTCCAAAAGTGAACCTGCCAATCACAAAAAAACTTTATATTGCTGGCAAGGAAACAAATTGTAAGAATGATAAGGTGATTCCAAAGGAAAGTTCGATCACAAAATATAATTAGCACATATGGATGTATTCCTATACCTATGGAACACTCAAAACTTCCATTTACAAGACTAACACTTAAATTACTTCTATTAAATATAATATTACCAAAATCTTGAAAAAAAAAACAAAAAAATAACACTCATATTTTTCAGTTTCATTAAATACTTTTTGGTTAGATCATGGCATATGCAAATACACGAGTTTGCTAGCTTTCTTTCTTTTTTTATAATATACGAAAATAAGGATAATTTAGATAGTATGTACATAATTTTGGAAGAAATAACTACTCAAGGATAGACAAGGCTGTTACAAGGGGTCATATTGAAATTTTATAGTTGCATCAAACTTGTTATGGGATACAACGGCTAAAATTGTGAGAATTTAGATAGTCTAGAAATAAGGATATTTTGCCAAGCACTGAGAGATTAAAATTTTTTAAGGAAAAAAATAGCATTTTTAAAGAATGGTAATTAATAAAATACAAGAGCAGCAAACAATAACTAAAAAAAACTAGATGCTAGCAATGTATTAAGTATTAAAAACTTGTAATTTTGTTGATTTGAATATCTTCTAAGCACAATAAAAGAAGGAAATGTTATATATAAAACGGCTAGCAATGCATAAGAGCTCTAATGATGTAGAACGGGGGGTAGTAGAAAATTAAAGAGCTAAAATTTCATCTCAGATTTCCCTTAATTAATGGATTTGAATTTGAAAATCAAATAAGAAAAGAAGGGAGGGAAGAGAGGAATTAATTATCTCATTAATTGGGGCCTTTAATTAGGATAGAGGGGAGAGAGAGGGCCGGCCAAGGAGGAGGCCGGAAAGATGTCCAGATTCGATGCATGTATCCACATACATTGAATAGGGGGAATTACATTCAAATCCAATCATTTAATTCATCACTAATTGGGGGGAATTTCCTAAAATAGTTGTAGGATATTTAGAAAAGACTTTAAAATTCAAATTCATTTGAATTTGAATTATGAAATCTTTCTAAATAAGATAGGGGCTAAATTAGGAAGATGATAATGGGGTAATTGAATGATTCTTTAATTAGAATCTTAAATTAGGAAAAGGATGAAAGACCTTTCAAATTTTAAAATTCAAAATTAAGATGTGGGAGGGAATTGTGTAATTAATTCAAATTAATGAGGGAAATTCAAATCTCAAATTAATTTGAAAATTCTCAAATTGCTTTGAATCAAATTAGGAAAGTAATAAAAAGATGATTGGGAATTGGAGCCTTGGAGAATTGGTGGGGTCGCCGGCGGCTAGGGGAAGATTTAGCCTGCGGCTAAAGAGGAGGAGGAGGTGGCGGTTTAGGAAAAATAAGGAGAATAAAAAAAAGATAAAACCGTTAGCCCGAACGGTTCCTGCGGCTGACGGGTGATGCGTAGCCCGAACCCATCCTGTAGCTGGTGAAAACTATGATTCCCTCCCATAGAGATCTCACTAAAACTCTCCCAAAGAACAAAAGTGTAGAACAATTTTAAAAAAAAAAACTCCATCATTATCCAAAACAAGAGCAAGGGTCTCTATATATAGGCCTTAAAAGAAACTAAAATATAACTTTGACCCTTGGACTTACAAAAGACAAGACCCTTAAGGGTAAAAATAGAAAATGCATAATTAAATCAAAAATACAATTAATAAACTAAGATAAAAATGGAGGGGTCTTGGTCGTGGATCTTCGTCTTTTCCTTTGATTAACGTACATCGTCGGATGTCCGCATCATTCTCCCAAGGTGGAAAAGAGCTTGACTCCGTCGAGTTCGCATCCCGGTTAACCATGCTCTGATACCAAACTAATGTAGAGCAGGGGGTAATAAAAAAATTAAAGAGCTAAAATTTCATCTCATATTTCCCTTAATTAATGAATTTGAATTTGAAATTCAAATACGAAAAGAAGGGAGGGAAGAGAAGAATTAATTATCTCCTTAATTGGGGCCTTTAATTAGGAAGGAAATAATTAGGATAGAGGGGAGAGAGAGGGCCGGCCAAGAAGGGAGGAAAGATGTCCAGATTCGAAGTATGTATCCACATACATTGAATAGGGGGAATTACATTCAAATCCAATCATTTAATTCATATTTGCACTAATTTGGGAGGGGGGAGATTTTTTAAAATAGGCGTAGGATATTTAGAAAAGACTTTAAAATTCAAATTCATTTGAATTTGAATTATGAAATCTTTCTAAATAAGATAGGGGCAAAATTAGGAAGATGATAATAGGGTAATTAAATGATTCTTTAATTAGAATCTTAAATTAGGAAAGGGATGAAAGACCTTTCAAAATTTAAAATTCAAAATTAAGAGATAGGAGGGAATTGTGTAATTAATTCAAATAAATAAGGGAAATTCAAATCTCAAATTAATTTGAAATTCCCGAATTGCTTTGAATCAAATTAGGAAAGTAATAAAAGGATGATTGGGAATTATAGCCTTGGAGAATTGGTGGGGTGGCCCGCGGCTAAGGGAAGATTTAACTGGCGGTTAAAGGGGAGGAGGAGGTGGCGGTTTATGAAAAATAAGGAGAATTAAAAAAAAAAAAAAAATAAAACTGTGCCGGACACTTCCTGTGGTTGACGGGTGATGCGTTGCCCTTCACCAAGGGACTTCAAGCCACAAGCTTGGACCCATCCTGCGGTTGGTGGAAAGTACAATTCTCACTAAAGCTCTCCCAAGGAACAAAAGTGTAGAACAATTTTTTTTTAAACTCCATCATTGTCTAATACAAGGGAAATGGCCTATATATAGGCCTTAAAAGAAACTAAAAGACAACTTTGCCCCTTGAGCTTACATAAGACAAGACCCTTAAGTAAGGGTAAAAACGGAAAATGCATAATTAAATCAAAATTACAATTAGTAAACTAAGATAAAAATGGATGGGTCTCGATCGTATATCTTCATCTCTTCCTTTGATTAACGTCCACTATCGGATGTCCGCATCATTTAAAGACTTTGCTCAAAGTCAATATAATAAAAATAAAGATAATACGATGGGAATTAAAGATGCAGTAATCAAAATCAAAAAGTACAAACCATAGATTGATCTAAAAATATAAAATTGAGTGAGTTCTTAATACGAAGCATAATGGTAAAAGTTT